GCGCACACTCCCCCTGCCATCTCTCCCAACCTTCGGAGGTCTCCCTCGTCCAGGCCCCCTCCGAGTGCCGCTACTCGGGAGGAGGTAATTGCTTTCGGAGGGATCCCAGACCCGGTCTCCGAGGGGAGACGGATGAGCTCTCGTCTCCAGGACCTTCCGGAGGTGGATGATATGCAGCAGCGGTGCGCTATGCGGGCGGCCAAGCTTCGTGATGTTGAGGTCACTACCGGTATGTCAGTAAATTTATCCAATTCCATTTTGCATTTCTCTAAGGATGAGATCATTCATAATGCAAACCAAGTAGGGGTGTCGCTTGGGAATAATAATTCTGAAATTTCAAACTCGGTTAACGATCTATTAGATTTGGAAGCAGAACGGGCATTAGAAACCATTAGAAACCTAGTGGCAGTAAGACCTATGAATGATGCGGAGATTGATGCATTGGGGGTAAGAGTGCTTGACAATTTCTGTGCGGATCTTGTTCCTCCGTCTGCGGAGTCGGACGAGGAAGAACCCTGTGTGGACGATGTAGTTTTTGCACAACCGGAGCACGGTTATGAGGACCGGGTTGCGGGAAATAACATTCCTAAACGTAAGTGGAAGCGGAAGGTGTACCCTGCTTCTGCTGTACGTAGGAGTGCTAGGATTCGTACTGCCAAAAAATTCCATGATGACCTATGAAAGGAATATTCTGGAATAGCAGAGGTCTTAAGGACTTGGCTAAACGTAGGTTTCTAGCGGAGGCATCTTTAGAGCACTGGTTAGACTTCATTGCACTCTCTGAAACTGGTAGGGATAATTTTGCGCCACAGTTTCTTAATGCGTTGTCGGGAGGTGTGGATTTCGATTGGCATTGTCTTCCTCCAAGAGGGAGGTCCGGTGGCATCTTGCTTGGTGTGAGATGTGATTCCCTTGAAGTCCGGAGCGTTGTCATGGGTGACTTCGCGGTCAAATTTCGAGTCCGGTATAAAGTAGATGGGTTTAACTGGGTTCTGGTGGCGGTCTATGGGGCCGCACAACCTGAGCTTAAACCGGAATTTCTGGCCGACCTGGTTCGTATTTGCGGATCTGAGCAACTCCCCATTTTGGTTGGGGGGGATTTCAACATCATTAGGAGGAGGGATGAGAAGAATAATGATAACTTTGACGGCCGATGGTCTTTTATGTTTAACACCATCATTGAGAGTTTGGATCTGAGAGAGATCGAGCTTTCTGGTCGACAATTCACCTGGGCTAACTCTTTACCCAATCCGACATATGAGAAGTTGGATCGGGTACTAGCAAGTGCCGAATGGGAACAGAAGTTCCCCCTCGTCACGGTTCAGGCTCTCACGCGCGGGATTTCGGACCACACGCCTTTGTTTGTAGACTCAGGTGAGCCAAGGATTGTGGGAAACAAAAATACCTTCTCTTTTGAAACGGCGTGGTTTGAACGAGAAGGTTTTCTGGATCTCGTAGCCAGGGAGTGGGCTACGGATACTGGAGGAAGATCGTCTGTCGAGAGATGGCGGAATAAGATTAGGCATTTGAGGAGCTTTCTCCGGGGATGGGCAAAGCACCTAAGTGGAGTTTATAAGATTGAGAAGGACAGACTCCTGGATCTTATACAATCCCTAGATGTTAAAGCTGAATCAACAATTTTGCAGTTTGCTGAATTGACTTGTAAGCTTGATGCGGAGAAGAGGTTAAAGGAACTCCTCCGCGAAGAAGAGCTGAAGTGGGCGCTCAGAGCAAAGGTTCGCAAAGTAATCCAAGGGGATGCAAACACTCAATTCTTTCACCTTATTGCGAATGGCAAACACAGAAAGAAAAAAAAATTCCAGCTCGAGCAAGATGAAGGCACAATTGTTGGTCACGATAATCTAAAGCTTTACATCACCGAATATTATAAGCAGTTATTTGGACCGCCGGAGGATAGCGCTGTGTCTCTCGATGAGTCCAGGTTTGAGGATGTGCCTCAACTAACTGCTTCTGATAATGCTATTTTGGTTGCGCCATTTACGGAAAAGGAGGTTTTCGATGCCATCTCTCAGATGGAGAACAATAAGGCTCCCGGGCCGGATGGGTTTCCGGCGGAGTTTTATAAAAAATGCTGGCATATTATCAAGGGGGATCTTTTACCCATGTTTCATGACCTTTTTGCTGGACGGCTTCAACTATTTCACTTGAACTTTGGAACCATAACGTTGCTACCAAAAAAGACCGATGCTCTGAGGATTGAGCAGTTTCGGCCTATCTGCCTTTTGAATGTTAGTTTCAAAATTTTTACCAAGGTTGGGACTAATAGGCTCACACAGATTGCGCATTCTGTGGTGCAGCAATCCCAGACAGCTTTCATGCCGGATAGAAACATCCTAGAAGGGGTGGTGGTTTTGCATGAAACGCTCCATGAAATCCACTCGAAGAAACTCGATGGAGTCATTTTTAAAGTGGATTTCGAGAAAGCGTACGACAAAGTTAAGTGGCCTTTCCGGCAACAAGCTTTGCGTATGAAAGGGTTCGACGACGTCTGGAGGAGCCAGATTGAATCGTTCACGCAAAAGGGTAGTGTTGGCATTAAAGTGAATGACGACATTGGTCATTACTTCCAAACACACAAGGGCTTGCGGCAAGGAGATCCGATGTCCCCTATTCTGTTCAACATAGTTGTGGACATGTTGGCAGTTCTGTTACAGAGAGCCAAGGAGGCTGGCCAAGTAGGAGGCTTGGTGCCTCATTTAGTGGATGGAGGAATTTCCATCCTACAGTACGCTGATGACACTATCATCTTCATGGAGCATGACTTGGTAAAAGCAAGAAATATGAAGCTGTTGCTTTGTTTGTTTGAGCAATTGAGTGGGCTCAAAATTAACTTCCACAAAAGCGAGTTGTTCTGTTTTGGTAGAGCCAAGGAGGAACAAGAAGCTTACAAACAATTGTTTGGATGTGGTTTGGGGGAGCTGCCATTCACATACCTAGGAATTCCTATACATCACCGTAGGCTTACGAACAACGAATGGAAGTGTATCGAGGATCGATTCGAGAAAAAGCTAAGTTGTTGGAAGGGTAAGCTCATGTCATATGGAGGCCGTTTAATTCTTATTAATTCGGTGCTCACGAGCATGCCCATGTTTCTTTTGTCTTTCTTTGAAGTCCCAGTTGGTGTAAGGAAAAGACTGGACTTCTATCGATCGCGTTTCTTTTGGCAGGGAGATGAGCTAAAAAGAAAATACCGGTTAGCGAAGTGGGATATCATTTGTAGGCCGAAAGACCAAGGGGGTATGGGGATTGAAAATCTCGAGGTTAAGAACCGATGCCTTCTTAGTAAGTGGTTGTGGAAGTTATCTTCAGGAACTGACGCCACTTGGGCTCAAATCCTTCGTAATAAGTATCTTCAAACCAAAACTTTGTCTCAGGTCACGGTTAGACAAACTGATTCACCCTTTTGGAAAGGGCTCATGAAAGTTAAGCTTTCATTTTTTCAGAGGGCAAAGCATATAGTTGGTAATGGTGCCAGCACAAGATTCTGGGAGGATACTTGGCTCGGAGGTACACCCCTTGCAATCCAGTATCCGTCGTTGTATCGTGTTGTCCAAAGGCGCGATGCTCTGGTTGCAACGGTCTTTCTTTCGATACCCCTTAATATTCAATTTAGAAGATCGTTAGTGGGCAATCGTTGGGAACAGTGGCTACATCTAGTTAGGAGACTGATGCAAGTCCAACTTTCACAACAACCTGATAAACTGCGCTGGAATCTCACTAGGTCGGGTGAATTCACAGTTAAATCAATGTATGTTGATGTTATTAATTCGAGCTCGATTCCTTCTTCCAAGCATGTGTGGGATGTCAAAGTTCCTTTAAAGATCAAGGTGTTTATGTGGTTTCTACACAAACAAGTTATCTTAACAAAGGACAATTTAACAAAGCGCAATTGGACAGGACCTACTAGGTGTAGTTTCTGTGATCAGGGTGAAACCATTAATCATTTATTCTTTGATTGCCCACTAGCTAGAATTCTTTGGACAACTGTTCATGTTGCTTTCAATATTCATCCACCAAGCTCGGTTAACATGTTGTTTGGAACATGGCTCAACAGGGTAGAGCCCGGGTTAGCAAAACATATTCGCTTGGGGGTGTGCGCCTTAGTATGGGCGCTTTGGAATTGCAGAAATGATCTTGTCTTTAACAGAACAACAAACATTCATGTTTTGCAGGTTATCTTCAGAGCTACGGCATTTATCCGTTCCTGATCGCTACTCACTCCGACGGAGGCTAGGGAGCTTTTGGTTACTGGTGCTATCCGATGGGAGACGGTAGCTCGGGATATCTTCAGCCGGTTTGGATGGCGGTCATGTAATAGGATAGGCAATTAGTTTACCTGTCTATTTTTAAGCCAACCGGTTGTGGTTTATCCTTTATTTGGCTAGCTTGTGTATCTAGCCTTTGGGCTCTGTGTGAGCCTTTCTTTTTCATTTTTTTTTGCTACTTTTGAGATTTCGAGACCTTGTGGATGATTTATTGTTAATAAGATGGCCGTATGCATCATGCTGATGCAGAGGCCGGGGATCCCCCTTTTCGAAAAAAAAAACAAGCAGGGGAAAACTGGAAGACACCGCGCGCAGGCAACCGCCCACGCAGCAGTAGACTCTAGAGATATCGATCAATCATTTACCACGCACCGCACGACGGTACTACGTCCAAACAAATACGAAATCAAAATCTCTTGATCGCGACAGACATGATTTTGCGGATCGGGTAGGAAGTTCAGAGTTCAAACGCCATAAGATATTGAGCCTCTGTGTGGCACAAGACGATATGCACGCTGGCTCAATCGATCGTCCGCGAGGGATCATATTTAAAATTATTATTTCTTAGATTGACTAGTAAGCGTGCACTTCAAGGGAGTTGGTTGGGAGTTGGGGCATTGTTGAATTTTTCTTAGATGAAGACGTGGCAAGCTCCGCTCTGTATATAGCGGCCAGTGCCGTCGTCCCGCTCCGGCGCCAACCGAATAGGCAGCCATGGCGCTTCTTGTGCTCGCTTCGGCTCCGTCCAACCCCGCCGGCTTCGTTGTGCTCGCTTCGGCTCCGTCCAACCCCGCCGGCTTCGGACAGTCCGCTCCGTCGGCTCCCAAAAGGCCTCTTTTTATCGGGGCTGCCAAACGGCCAAGCGCACGTTTGGTGTCCGCTCCAGCTCCGCTCCGGCTCCGGCTCGTTGTCGGCACGTCCTCTCTGCCTCCGGCTCTTAGGCTCGGCGGCGCAGCAGCGGCAGCCAGGACAAACACGGTACTGTACAATCGCCATACACATCTTTACTCAAATAAATAAATCAGGATAGAAACACGAATTAGCTCTTTTCTGGTTTCCCTCTTGCTCCTGGCGGCTGGAACCCTAGCCGCCGCCATGAGAGGCAAATCTTCCCGCGCCGTTCTCCAGCGGCTCCCCTTCGCCGGCGGCCTTGATTATCGGTTGTGAGAAAGGTCGTTGGATCCACGTATGTGGAACATTTTTACTCCCTCGTAGTCTAGGTTTTTAGATTGTTCATCGTCTTAGCTTCGACAGCGACAATAACAACACTGAATAAAGCTTCAGATCCTTCCCTGACGAGGCCATCGGTCCTATGGTTGAGGACGGATTTGAAAACTAGTCTGTTCAAGTAAGGATGAGGTGGCGACGGCGGCATCCTCGTGGTGGACCCATGTCCTCGGGCTCCGTCATTGCGACGGTGTTTGCTCCAGCATCGGCGCGGAGCTTGGGAGGTAGTCCAGGAGTGGATGCAGATTGTGGTCTGCATCGATGACATCTAGAAGACGAAACGTGTGCTGGTTCGTGGTTCGTGGACGACAGGTATGATTTTCTTCTTCGGCGTTTTAGTCATGATGGGGTGTCAGATCTAAAGTTCGATGGTGCATCCGGGTTGTTGCCCCGATCTGATTCAGTCAATAGCAAGGGCTTCACTTTTGGTGATCCATCTTTTTTTTTTAAAAGTACAGACACAAGCGCTCATATACACGCGCATACACTCATCCTTATGAACGCACATACGCACACCCTACCCCTATGAGCACCTCTGAAAGAATGAGCCGGCATATCATCTTAAGATTTACGAAGTCACCGTAGGTGCCTCGTCATCGACGGGAACATCTTCTCCCACTGAATGCGCATCGCCGGAAATCCTAAAATAAATCCAGGATAAATACGAGCACCAGGATTTGAACACTGGTGGGCTGGGGATACCACAGTCCCTCTAACCATCCAACCACAGATTGGTTCGCCTTTTGGTGATCCATCTTAGAGGTCCGCAGATCCGTATATCAGTGGTGGAGCCGCGTCGAGCTCCGATGAGGAGGTGATCCATCATCCTTTTCTTTGGTGACTGCTGTGGTGGTGCCGGAGGCAGGTGACGGGCATTTGTGTCAAGCTAAGAGATGTTCTGCTATCTTTTCAGTTTCGTCGCCTTTACGTGACTTGTATTTTATTTTTTATAATATAAATGAGCCACGTATTATCATGCAAAAAAATTAAACCAGGAAAACAAATAAATAATTAAACTACACAGGTTCCCGCATGTGTCATTTCCATTTCCGCACGGCATCTTCCAATGGGCCCCTTGAATTTATCCCGATGAATGCTTCAAAAGCAAGTTCTTGTTTTCTTGTGTTTCGACTATGTTATTTATTTATTTTTGCCACCGGCCACCACCGGTTTATACACGGTTTAAATGATACGAGTAGAATATCAAGAGAACTGTAGAAAGTACTTTTTTCGTTGTTTTTTTGACACTAGTGTAGTGTCAAAAAATATCTTACATTATGAGACGAAGAGAGTACATGATATCATACTTTCGACTTACTTTATTTTGCCCGGAGAAGAGCATGCATGCAATGAGCTATGTTGATAAAATCCGCCTTGATGCACCTACTAGGCTACATATGGCAGGAACAATTAGGAGACGAGCTCAAGGTGTTGGGAACATGGCGGAGCCCATTCGCTCTACGGGTGAGGCTAGCGCTCAACTTCAAGGGCCTACCATATGAGTACTTTGAGGAGGACCTTGACAACAAGAGCGACCTTCTCCTCAAGTCCAACCCGTTCATTAAGAAGTTGCCCGTTCTCATCCACAACAACATCCTGATATGCGAGTCACTCGTGATCTTGGAGTACATTGAGGAGAAGTTTAGTGATGTGGGTCCAGCCCTCCTCCCCGTTGACCCCTACGAACGTGCCATGGCACGGTTCTGGGCCAGGTACATTGAAGATAAGGTACATACATGTCTGACGACTGTGAACCCACTTACATATATAGCAACATATATATGTCCCACGGACTATGTGGGTGCTCACGCTTGATGAATTGCAGCTAGTCGCCCCATGGTTGAAGATGTTTAGGGCCAACACAAACGAGGAGAAAGCTGAATGGATGAGAGAGACGGTGGAGGCAGTGAAGACGCTGGAGGGGGCGCTCTCCAGAAAATTAGCGCCCTTCTTCGGTGGTGATGATGTCGGGTACGTCGATGTCGTGCTCTCCGGCATGATCGCGTGGATGCAAGGAACTAAGGCACTTTGTGGTGTCGAACTCCTGGACACAACAAAGACCCCACTCCTAGTGGAATGGATGGAGCGCTTCGCTGGGTTGGAAGGTGCTAAGGAGGTTATGCCGGATGTGGACAAGTTGGTTGAGTTTGCCAAGATAAAGCGTGCCAAAATGATGGCACTCGATAATAATTAAGCTGTGCATGCATTCTCTCTAGTTGTTGGTTGGTGTTTCTCCATCGCAGTAGTTGCAGTTTGATTTACTCATGCAAAGAACAAGGACTGAAAACTATGAAAGAAGTGGATAAGAAGACAATGGGAGTACACATCCTATATCCTATATATACATAAGAAATTGATCTCCACTATCCTATTTATCTCAACATGCACATATGCCACCTCATCAATTATTATTTCCTCTTTCTTAGTTGCATGCTCCATCCAATTAGCATACTTAATGCACATGCAACCATGCATACATGGGAAAATGTCTACCTCAATACACAATCATGCGTGAAAAAAAGTTTTACACTATACAATAATCACATGATACTATCAATTCACATGTATTTATGCTCCATACAACCAATCCCATTAGAATATATTGCAACCATTTCCCGCCGCAACGCGCAGAGTATCATCTAGCTATCTATATGCTTCCGTGCATGATGTAGGCAACCCACCCATTTTTTATTCATTGGGTCTATTCATTTCATCGCTTCTTCTTCCCCTTAGCCGAGATACTTCATGAGTGAGGAGTTAGGCTGGTTATTGTGGGGAGTAACTTAGACTGGTAACATGCATATGTTACTATTACTACTACCTCTGTCCTGATTTATTGGTCCTCTTCGTATTTAGTGTCAATTTTTCACCATAGATTTGTCAATGCATGTCAAACCATACCACGAGAAACTATGTTCAAATACGAATCCAACATTTTTTGGTGACATGCACTAACATTTTGTTGGTCAAATACATGGTCAAAATTTGACACAAAATATGAAGGGGGCCAATAAACCAGGACGGAGGTAGTACCTCTATAGTTGGTAGTGTGTGGTGTCATGCAATACCTTATTTATTAGGTTCTAGACTCATTTTGTCTTATATGTGTACTGTTGCCGTAACATATTATGTTACCAAAACATTGTCTTTCCTCATTAATTACTTAACACATACATCATCTATTTTATCTAGATATGTGTGATATTACCACTTATGCTACTCCCTCTATGAGTAGTCTTAGGGTTCAAGGTCAATTAGCATGTTTGGAGTGCGTGCATATTTGTGTATGGACAGACCGAGGGACACATAGGCTCCATCCCCACTAGTAATGTGTGACTACACTATTACTACACGACTTGCATATCTAATACGTCTTTGAGGTTTTCGGGATATTATTAATTATATATAGCCTATAATCTAAGAAGCTCAAGGGGGATAGAAGAAGGGGTAGTCCTATACAAACTTCTAGCTCAAATTTCAGGGTTGGCGAGTTTTAGGTTAAGCTAGTTTGTCTATATTTGCTCCACTCATTGAATCCCTCGACATCCATATAATTTGTTTCTTTTTTTTTATCATAGTACATTCATCTCTTGAAAACAATGATCTTGGTGTTGATGACTTTCATGCCAAATCCATTCCGACACACTTCATCCATCACCTATGGAACATTTTTTTTGTATATTTGAATGCAATTATTGCTCCACGGGTGCCTATGGCCACACCCCTGGTAGCACCTCTTGCGCATCAACAACCCCCTTCGCGCCCTGCACCGCCGCGTCAACAAGCTCTTGCGCCACCGTCTTAAGTGCCCTTGATCCCTCCCCGTAGTAGTGAATAAAGTGGATCAAGTGCTAGATCCTAGATATAAGGACATCATTTGTTTTAACGATGGAGGACCAAAACACTAAGAGCCAAAGACTTGCTTCATATGCAATCAGCTAGGTCATAATGTTAACAACTGTGCGACATGGCTGCAACTACATCCAATGGAAACCTACTTTGGTAGGTCCGCTAGGGGATTGAGTTTTTATCACATTGATGTGCCTATACATAATGAGACTAATTGACTCAACGTCAGAAAATTAATAGTCCCAAATGTGGTGAAATGTGAAGTAAGTAGGGATGATTTATAGGAATATTTAATTTGAGTGCTTTGTTTTGCAAACAGAAATAGTGGCCTTGGCAGAGCAATGCTCAGTAGAAACATTTCCATGGTTTGGTTTTCTCCTTAAAAGAAAATAAAAGACTTGATTGACTTCTTTGCCTTTCACTTAACTGAAGGGGTGAATTGTTGGAAATATGCCCTAGAGGCAATAATAAAATGATTATTATATTTCCTTGTTCATGATAATTGTCTATTATTCATGCTATAATTGTATTATCCGGAAATCGTAATACATGTGTGAATACATAGACCACAATGTGTCCCTAGTGAGCCTCTAGTTGACTAGCACGTTGATCAACAGATAGTCATGGTTTCCTGGCTATGGACATGGGGATGTCATTGATAATGGGATCACATCATTAGGAGAATGATGTGATGGACAAGACCCAAACCTAAGCATAGCACAAAGATCGTGTAGTTCGTTTGCTGTAGCTTTTCTGAATGTCAAGTATCATTTCCTTAGACCATGAGATTGTGCAACTCCCGGATACCGTAGGAGTGCCTTAGGTGTGCCAAACATCACAATGTAACTGGGTGACTATAAAGGTACATTACAGGTGTCTCCGAAAGTGTCTGTTGGGTTGGCACGAATCGAAACTGGGATTTGTCACTCCGTATGACGGAGAGGTATCTCTGGGCCCACTCGGTAATGCATCATCATAATGAGCTCAATGTGATCAAGTGGTTGATCACGGGATCATGCATTACGGTACGAGTAAAGTGACTTGCCGGTAACGAGACTGAACAAGGTATTGGGATACCGACGATCGAGTCTCGGGCAAGTAACGTACCGATTGACAAAGGGAATTGAATACAGGATTGATTAAGTCCTTGACATCGTGGTTCATCCAATGAGATCATCGAGAAGCATGTGGGAGCCAACATGGATATCCAGATCCTGCTGTTGGTTATTGACCGGAGAGTCATCTCGGTCATGCCTGCTTGTCTCTCGAACCCGTAGGGTCTACACACTCAAGGTTCGGTGATGCTAGGGTTGTAGAGATATGAGTATGCAGTAATCCGAAAGTTGTTCGGAGTCCCGGATGAGATCCTGGACGTCACAAGGAGTTCCGGAATGGTCCGGAGGTGAAGAATTATATATAGAAAGTGTAGTTTCGGCCATCGGGAAAGATTCGGGATCAGCGGTATTGTACCGGGACCACCGGATGGGTCCCGGGGGTCCACCGGGTGGGGCCACCCATCCCGAAGGGCCCCATGGGCTGAAGTGGGGAGGGGAACCAGCCCATAGTGGGCTGGTGCGCCCCCCTGGGCCCCCCTGCGCCTAGGGTTGGAAACCCTAGGGTGGGGGGCGCCTCCACTTGCCTTGGGAGGCACTCCACCCCCCTTGGCCGCCGCCCCCTTGGGAGATCCCATCTCCAGGGCCGGCGCCCCCCAGGGGGCCTATATAAAGGAGGGGGGAGGGAGGGCAGCCGCACCTGAAGTCTTGGCGCCTCCCTCTCCCCTGCTACACCTCTCCCTCTCGCAGAAGCTCGGCGAAGCCCTGCTGCGATCACTGCTGCATCCACCACCACGCCGTCGTGCTGCTGGATCTTCATCAACCTCTCCTTCCCCCTTGCCGGATCAAGAAGGAGGAGACGTCATCCGCTCCGTACGCGTGTTGAACGCGGAGGTGTCGTCCGGTCGACACTTGGTCATCGGTGATTTGTATCACGGCGAGTACGACTCCATCATCCCCGTTCTCTGAACGCTTCCGCTCGTGATCTACAAGGGTATGTAGATGCACTCCTTTACCCCTCGTTGCTAGATGACTCCATAGATTGATCTTGGTGATGCGTAGAAAATTTTAAATTCTGCTACGATCCCCAATAGTGGCATCATGAGCTAGGTCTATGCGTAGTTACTATGCACGAGTAGGACACAAAGTAGTTGTGGGCATCGATATTGTCAATTTGCTTGCCGATACTAGTCTTATCTTGATTCGGCGGCATCGTGGGATGAAGCGGCCCGGACCAACCTTACACGTACGCTTACGTGAGACCGGTTCCACCGACTGACATGCACTAGTTGCATAAGGTGGCTGGCGGGTGTCTGTCTCTCCCACTTTAGTCGGATCGGATTCGATGAACAGGGTCCTTATGAAGGGTAAATATAAATTGGCAATTCACGTTGTGGTTTTGGCATAGGTAAGAAACGTTCTTGCTAGAAACCTATAGCAGCCACGTAAAAACTTGCAACAACAATTAGAGGACGTCTAACTTGTTTTTGCAGCAAGTGTTTTGTGATGTGATATGGCCAAAGGTTGTGATGAATGATGAATGATATATGTGATGTATGAGATTGATCATGTTCTTGTAATAGGAATCACGACTTGCATGTCGATGAGTATGACAATCGGCAGGAGCCATAGGAGTTGTCTTTATTTATTTATGACCTGCGTGTCAACATAAACATCATGCAATTACTTTACTTTATTGCTAAAGCGTTAGCCATAGTAGTAGAAGTAATAGATGACGAGACAACTTCAAGAAGACACGATGATGGAGATCATGATGATGGAGATCATGGTGTCATGCCGGTGACAACGATGATCATGGAGCCCCGAAGATGGAGATCAAAGGAGCAAATGATATTGGCCATATCATGTCACTATTTGATTGCATGTGATGTTTATCATGTTTTACATCTTATTTGCTTAGAACGATGGTAGCTTAAATAAAATGATCCCTCGAAATAATTTCAAGAAAGTGTTCCCCCTAACTGTGCACTGTTGCGAAGGTTCGTTGTTTCGAAGCACCACGTGATGATCGGGTGTGATAGATTCTAACGTTTGAATACAACGGGTGTAAGCCAGATTTACACACGCGATACACTTAGGTTGACTTGATGAGCCTAGCATGTATAGACATGGCCTCGGAACACAGAAGACCGAAAGGTTGAGCATGAGTCGTATAGAAGATACGATCAACATGAAGATGTTCACCGATGTTGACTAGTCCGTCTCACGTGATGATCGGACACGGCCTAATTAACTCGGATCATGTTATACCTAGATGACTGGAGGGATGTCT